ACACACTCCCTGGGTGAGGGCCTCGTGGCATGTTGGCGGCAAAACAAGCTCTGAACTTGGTCAGCTCCCCTGAGTGGAGTTTTCTGAATTTCCTGTAAGTAGGGCATCCTTCAGAAAGGGCTATGTCAGTTGGTTTCTGCAGAGACAGCAGGTTCGAGTGGGCCAGCCGTGCCCATCTGCCCCGGTGAGCGTTCTCCGCAGGTGCTGGGGGCCTGGGTGCCGGTGATGGAGGCCCCGTGGGCTCCTGAGGCATCTCCATGGGCTCCCCGAGGCTCTGCCAGCCCCCAGCTCAGCAGGCACCGCGGGTCAAGCTTGGCTCCCCGGGAACCGGCCATGCTGGCACAGCGAGGTCACCGTGTGCTGCTGACCCTGTCCTGGGCTGCTGTGCACCTCGCCAAGGGCAGCAGCAGGACCCTGGTCCAGCTGTTCCTTAGAACAGTCACAGTCAGGACCCGCCAGCTCCCCGCCAGGTGGCTCCTTCCTGGTACCTGTCGTAGCTGCCCTGGCTGTCCCTGGCCTGTCCCCTCCCTGGATGTGGGGCTTGGCTTTGGGCTGGACGGGGCGGAGTGGACTTGTCCCCAGGCCAGCCCGTTGTCCCTGGAATGAGCTGGCTTTGCCCCCTGACTCTCCTGGGTGAGGATGGGGGGGAGGTCTCCAAGCTCCTTCTGTCCTCCGCTGGGGGTCCCCTCACTGCCTCGGGGCTCAGGCCACCCCCTGCCATCCTTGCTCAGGAGAGCGACTGTCTCTGCTGCTGCAGTTTCAGAGTCTCGGTGCCAATGCTCTGTTGGGGCCCTGCTGTTTGGGGTGTCTCGGGGCACTGGGCTCACGTGACCCCATCCGGCTTCATCTGGGGTTGGCTTGGCCCTTGGGCACAGTGTGTGTGTGTGTGTCCCCGGGGGAGTCTGGCCACCAGAGGGGGCAGACGGCTCCGGTGAGCCTGGCCGTGGGGCCAGCCCCCACGGCACAGTGGACCTCACTGACGGGTCGCAGGCCGGGCTGGCCAGAGCTGACACGGGAGACCCGGCTTTCCAGCTGGGACGGCCGGGGACTCCGTGGCTCCCGAGACAGCAGGGTCGTGCCCTGTGTTCGTGCCCTGTGGCTGCCGTGGCAACTCACCACACACTCAGTGGCTTCGAATGACAGATTCAGTACCTGACGGTGCTGGAGGTCGGAGTCCAAAGTGGGCTGGAATCCAGGTGTGGGCAGAGCTGTGTCCTTCCGGAGGCGCCAGGCCTCACAGCCCCTCCCGTCCTCGCAGCCAGCAGCCCGGCATCTTCCAGCACCTTCCAGTCCGTCCCTCCCTCTGACTCTGCTGACTTCTCCCCGCTGCCTCCCACCCTCCCGCCCCCTTGTTACAAGGACACTGTGATCATGGTGGGCCCACCCGGCTACACCAGGGGGACTTCCCTCCCAAGACCCTTAGCTTAATCCATCTGCAAAGGCGCTTTTGCCATGGAAGGTTCCAGGGGTAAGGACGTGCACATCTTTGGGGGACGTTACCCAGCTGACCACAACGTCCTCAGGGCACGGCCGCAGCCCCCCCCCCACCCCCCAGGGTGCTTGGAGCTGAGAACGGCGCTTCTCCGGCGTCACGTGGCTCCTTGGGATGGGGCGGGCAGGGTTTAGGTGACCCCCCTGCCTTGCAAGCGTAAGTCATTTCTGTAAAGGGGATTTGCTTGGTTCAAAGGGGCCGAGCGGAGGGGACCCCAGTGGGAGGTCGTCTGGCCGAGCGCCCCGCCCATGAGCAGGTGAGGGGAGGCCCCCTGTCCCCCGCCTCAAGCCGGCTCGCTGCTGTGTCCAGACACTGATCCTGGCCGACAGCAAGCAGCGGGCGCCGGAAGCCGTGGCGGTGCCTCAGTGCCCCCTGCCTGGGCCACTGTCACCTGTCTCCCCCGACACAGCAGCTTCCGACCGCCAGACGCTGCGGTTTCAGGGGTGGGAGGGCGTGGGCCGGGGTCGGCATGCCAGCCCCTCCCGCAAGGCGTGGGGTGGGGGAGGGGCCCCGAGGCCTGTGCACTCCTGCAGGGACCTGGGGCTGGGAGCGGCTGGGCGGAGCCCTGGTGGGGATGCTGGAGTCTAGACGGTCCTGTCCTCGTGCTGTCCCGTGTGGAGGCGGGTGTGAGCAGGGAGGCCCGCGCGGCTCAGGGTTGGCCACGCCTGGAGAGGACAGCAGCGGCTGCAGGGGACCTGCTGACCACAGGGCTGCACGTGGCCAGGCTTCTGCCTGGCGCCTGCCCCCAGACTGCCCGGTGTGGGCCACGATGCAGCGCCCTGGCCCGGCGTGCCAGCCAGGGCTCAGGGCGGCTCTGCACCTGCCGCCCACTGCCCTCTGACCGATGTCTCCTCCGTCAGCCTCTTCGTTAGCCAAGGAGTCGGGTGAGGCCCAGATGGCTGCAGCGTCACTGGCCGAGGGCTGGGATTTTACAGAATGAGCTGGCTCTTACTAAGCACCTACTGTATGCCCTGCAGTGTGCTCTGTGGGGTCACACCATTACCTTTGAGGGGGCCTCTCCGGGGTCTCGGAGCGAGGAGCCAAGCTCAGGGGAGAGGGTCTCTCTGGGAGCCCCTCTGCAGGTGCTGCCCATCCTGCCCTGCCCAGCGGGCACAGGTCTGTCCCCCCAGCTGATGGTCCCACTGGAGGGCCCTGTGACCCCCCGTTCCCAGGAGCCTCTCTGGGGCTCTGTGGGCTCTGTTAACCCTTTGTTTTCAAGCTTCCTCCCACAAACCATCCCGGCCTCTTTCTGAAGCATGTTACTGAGACTTAGGGACGTCTCGTGCAGGTGGGGAGGGGCTCCTGGCCTTGTTTGCCGCCGCCTCCCTGAGGCAGACTCGGGGCTTAGGAGGGACCCTGGGGGGGTCTCCCCAGAGTGGGCAGAGACTCTGGCTCCGGGGGGCTGTTTGCCATTTCCCACTTGCCACGCATGTTCTGAGAGCCGGACCGGTGGCGGGTTTCTGCTCAGGGAGACACAGTGGACGGCACCTCCACCCACGGGCTTCGGGGGGCATCGGGGGAGAGCTTCACCCCCAATGCGTGCCACCTTTGGCAGCTTCCGGGTGGCGTTTAGGATGGCGCCTCGCCCGCAGCTGTTTTCATGGGGATGGTGGTGGGGCCTGTAGGTGGTGGAGAAGTCGGAGCCGATCGTGGGGACCTGGCGGATCGTCAAGCGGAAGCACAGTGAGAGCTGGGCTCTGCGTAGCGGCTGGGAGTGAGGTGTCCCGGCCAGTCTCCCTCCCGGTCGAGGACTTGCCCCCGAAGCCTCTCCCTCGAATCTGCCCAGCCTCTCTGGCCAGGGCGTGGCTGCTTCTCGGCTGTGCCCCCCAGGAGGGCTCTCCAGGGCAGGGGTCACTGAGGGTTCTCTGGGCAGTGCTGGGCACGTGCAGCCCATCGGTCCCCACGCTGGTTTCCTCCCCACCGTGACAGCTTTGAGAGCCCCTGTGTGCGGGGCGCTTCTCCGGCGGGCAGGGCTGCTCCCGGGGGCCCAGGAGCTGCAACTCTGGTGTTCCTGGAAGCTGCTGCCTCTTGCCCTTCTGGTCCCATCTGTCTGCCTGGGCTCCCCGGGCCCCGGCGCGGCTGTGTGGGCCTAGGGTGGGGGAGGCCAGGGCAGCCCAAGCCTTCTTCACACCCTCGCTGCCTGGCTTGGTTCCTGCAGGAGGTGGTGCACACCCGGGGTGCCAGGGTGCCTCCAGCTCTGGGGGGAAGGGTCTCGGGAAGAGTCAGAACTTTCCCTTTGGCTGGAGCCATGGTCCTGGGGGAGGGGCAGGTGGGCAGGGTGTCCCCTGCAGCTGGTCCTGTGGTATGAGGCTCCTTCCAGGAGTGGAGCGTCTGGGACCTGCTTGACTCCCCCCCACCTCCCCACCCCATGCCCAGGGCACTTGGGGGCAGGAGGCTGTGCTGGTGAGCAGAGGGCCTGCAGGGTCTCCTTGGCCTTAGGTTGATGCTCTGCTCCCCTAGACTGCCTCCCCCCCCCAGGCTGTGGCAGTCACAGCGGTGTAGATATTGCTGGGGCCTCCAGACCAGGCCAGCCCCGACGCAGTCCCCTGCCCCTCTCCTGCACCCGTCCCGGCCCTCTTTGAGTGGGGACCCCGAGTTTGGAACCTGTGAATGCACAGTTCTCCATCTGAGCCGGCCTCAGGACAGGGGTTTGCAGGGTCTGGGTGCTCGGAATAGGGGTTGGCACTTGGCAGGGCAGGGAGCGGCTCGGGAGGCCCGCGTGGGCTCCCCAGGGCTGCCGCAGCAACGTCACACACGAGGCGGCTTGAAACAGCGGGAGGGGCCAGGAGTCCAGCTCCAGGTGTCTGGGTGGCGCTCCCCCGGGCCCGTGGGGAGGGTCCTTCCTGCCTCTTCCTTCTGGCTCTGGGGGCCCCGGCCGTGCTTGGCCTGCAGCCAGCTCCGCGCGGTCCCTGCCTGGTTGGCCTCCTGTGGGTCTTGTCGGGACACCCTTGTCCAGAATGATCTCATCTTCGCCCCTAACTTGTTACATCTGCAGAGACCTTGTTTCCTGCTAAGGTCACGTTCTGGGATTCCAGAGGACGTGAATGTGGGGCAGACGCTGTTTGCACCAGCACCCCCCCGCACGCCCCTGTCTTCGCCTTTTCCCACCCCCGGGCCTGTGCGGGGTCGTCTCCAAAGTTGTCTGTTTCTCCTCTTGGGCTCCTGGGCCCCCGTGGAGCGGGGGCTTTGCAAACCGGGAACGCTTTCTGCATTCGGACTTATGGAAACAGCACATGCTCCAAGTTCAGTCCTGAAAGGCGCTGGGAGCTGGGCTGCCCCCACCCGAGCCTGCCACCCTCTGCTGTCCCCACCCTGAGCAGGTGGCCGTGCCGGGCAGGCAGACCCCGCTCTAGCTCTGGCAGGGGTGGGTGAGGGGCTCGGGGAGCCTTGCACTCCAAAGAGGGTCTTGGGTCTGGGCCCCAACACCTGGGCACCTGGGTGGGGGGCAGGTCCTCCGCGTGGTGGCAGCACTGGCTGTTAACCGTCCCTCGTCCCTGCCCCTGCCCAGATGTGGACGAGTGCCGAGCGCACAACGGCGGCTGCCAGCACCGGTGCGTGAACACCCCAGGCTCCTACCTCTGCGAGTGCAAGCCCGGCTTCCGGCTCCACACGGACGGCAGGACCTGCCTGGGTGAGTGTCACCTGGAGACCCCTCCCCGCTGGCCTCAGCCTGGGAGGTACGTGCCGTTCTCTGGGGGCCTCGGGGTGGGGCGCTTCTTTCCACCGTAGAGAGCAGGCCCGGGCCGGCTCCGAGCAGCTCCCTGCTGGTCCTGCCTGCTCTGCGGCAGGGCGCCCCGCCAGCCCCGGGGGGCCCGAAACACACTCACATGTCCCGGCCGCTGCAGGGAGCCAGGCAGCTGCCCCGTAAACTTTTCCTGGGTCAGAAAGTGGAAACACATGCAGGATGTGATGTGCTTCAGGTCGGCTAAGACGGAGGGGGGTCCCGGCACACTGCCCACGGGGTGGGGGGCTTCTGGGAGCCTGTGGCTGGGGGCCTGATAGCTCTGGGCACCCTGGTCCCCTCAGAGCCCCTGGAAGAGGTGGCTCCGGGGAGCATGTCCTTCTCTTACCCCTCCTTTCAGCCAGGGCTCTCCTGAAGGGTGACACTAGGGGCTGGTCCAGGGTAGGGGTGCCTGTCCTCCCTGCTGGCCCCACACTGTGAGGGGCCCAGGCCTGGGGACAGTCTTCCTCTCCACCACCTGCTGACAGGGGCCTTCCATGAGATGCCCTGGAAGGGACAGGGCCTGGATAGGATGAGCAGTAGCATGAGCAGGGGGCAGGCTCTGCAGGGCGAGGAGTGACCCACACGGGCTGCTGAGCCCGGGAGGGGCCCCTGCCCACCCCACACCCCGCACTGCTGTGCTGGAGCCGCCTCCCTGGAGCGTTTCCTGGGAGATGTCTACAGAAGTCTTGATTGGTGGCATTTGCTCATTTGAAAGGGTCTTTCCAGGTTCAGATGCTGGGGCCCCTGGGCAGGGTCTGCTGGGCCTGGCAGGAGGCTGCGGGGCCCCCCAGCCCCTCTGGCTGTCAGCCCCCCAACAGTGCACACTCTGCATGGTTGGGGGCTCCCAGGTGCCTCCACAACCTTCTCGGGGGCCGGGGCTGCCTCCTGGCTGCTCCCACCAGAGGGCCCCAGGCAGGACTCACCTGTCACCAGAAGGGCTTTCCTCTACTCAGGTGTCTGGTCTGGTCGCAGAGCAGTGACCTCAGAATCACTTTCTGTTTCTTTTGACTGCATGTCCCAGCCTGGACTTTACACTGAAACTTCACGGAACTACAGTCTCACTGCTGTGACGCGGCCGGGCCTTTGGCACGGTCTGTTTCAATCAAGACAGCGGTGGTTGCTCTCGGGGCTGTGCTCACCTGGGAATGGGTGGCCGCCCTCACTTCGGCAAGCACCGCCCTGGCGACCGGGTTCCACCAGCCTCGGGCCGGTCGAGTTGGGGAAACGCCTTCCTCTCCCAGCAGGTCTCCTGGTGGTGGCCTGGGGGCTTGTGAGGATCACCCTGTTCCCAGGCTGTCCCTGCCTGGGCACCACCCAGACCCCCTTCCCAGTGCTCCCTGGGGCATGTTGTCCCTGCTTGTCCCCTGCCCGTCGTGGCCACTCACTCTGTGTGGGAGCTATTGGTGGTGGGTTCCACGTGTCAGGAATTCCTGGGAGCCGACACCGGCCAGCAGGGCTCCTGGGAGTGTCTCAGACGGTGAGGGTTTGTTGGCCTGGGGCCCCCAGCTGTGGGGGCCTGAGAAGCTTCCAGAGTGCACATGGGGTCTCCTGAGGGCTTCTTCCCAGGCAGAGCCAGGTGTGTTTGTTTTGGGGGTGCCCTGCTGTCTTGAGCCCCTTCTTGTTGCCGAGGTCCCCGCTGGGCAGTGGGCCTGAGCTACAGGCTGGGACAGGTGGGCTGGGTTGTGGCTGAGGGGCTGCCCTGCAGGGGGCTCTCCTGCCACAGCCTTGACCTTGGCACTGCCCGGTCCACGCCGGGCTGCCTGGGCTCTGCCAGGGCTCTGAGGGTGCCGAGCTGGACTTCCAGCCCCTGGGACGGGACCCTCCCCTCCCCTCTTCAGGACTCCCAGGGTGCCGGTGTGGGGAGGGCTGGTGGCCTTATCCTCTGGTTCCCAGTGTGCCCCTCTGGGCCCAGACTGCAGCAGGGCCTCAGGGACCGTCCCCCCAGACCCCCGGGGGCCAGCTATGGGGCAGGCTGCGCAGCTGGGGCACAGTTGCCGCCGAGCCCTCCCCAGGCCTGCTGGGACCTTCCTGGGGGAGGGTGCCGTGGCCTCTCCACCGGGGATGTGGCCTTCCTTTCACGGTATAGGATGAGCTCTCAGGGTGTTGAAACGTTGGGGGCCCGGAGCAATCTGGGTAGACCCCACAGGAGTCTGTGCTTGAAGGAGGCCTTGAAACACACAAGGGGGGCCTTGAGACACACAAGGGGAGCCTTGAAACACATGAGGGTGGCCTTGAAACAGACTTGCACTCCCTGCCAGGCAGGGAGAAGGCAGGAAATGTACAGTCTCCATGCATCCCCCCCTCCCAAATGAGCTTACAGAAATAAAACGCAAAAAGCATCCATTCTTAAAAGTGAGAATTTATGAGAATGATTTTGCCATTTGCTCTGTGAGAAGCAGCTGAGCCTAGGGCCTTGTCCCCCTGCCCTGGCCACCCCTGTCCTGGGACACTCTGTCACCCAGGCACCTTTCCTGGACGTGTCCCCCAGTCTCTGGGGTGGGAAGGGCAGGGCCCAGCGAGGCCTGAGGGCCGGGCCATGCTTGCTTCTCACCCCAGGCCGGGCCAGCCCTTTCTCTCCCCAGCTATGGAAAGCGGGGCCTGCCCAGGGCAGTGGTCTCTCCAGAGTGTCTGGGAGTGTCTTTCTCGGTTTCCGTGGCATCTCACAGAGCCACCAGCATGCAAAACCCAGGGAGGAGGACAACTCCCAGGTCGTTTGACACTTGGCACTGGAGGAGCCTGCTTCGTGTACCTGGGGTGTTCTGAGCCAGCACCACACCTGCCCGGGGCTTCCCAGGCCAGCCTGGCTGACCTCAGGCCCCTGGCCTTGTACATGGCTGTTGCCCCATGTCCCTGGGTCAAGCGACCCTCCCAGTCTGTCTGAGAGACCACAGATGTCACTGGCTCAACCAGCAGGAGGTCCCTCCAGACTAAACTGGGCCGGCCCCACGGAGGGGGAGGTTCTCTGTCCTCCTCATGGGCTTATGCCCATCAGGCCTTTGGGGTGAACACTGGCGGGGATTCTGCTGCCAGCTGCATCCCCTGGTGGCCTGGCTGCCCCCGCCCATGTCCCCTCCCCCAGAGTCAGATGGGCCCTGGTGCGTGCACAGCTGGAGGAGGCCCCCGTGTTCCGCCTTCCTGCCTGGCTCTGCCACAGGCCTGCCATGCGCCTCAGGGTCACCCTCCCTTCCCCAGGACTGGGTCTCCCTGTCAGGGCAGCAGGGCAGTGGGGGGCTGCACAGGCCCCCCCCGGATGCTCCTTGGACTCCTGCTCACAGGGGAGGCTGCTGCTGGCAGCGTCTTGCGGCTGGGCCAGTGCTGCAGGCGCACACGTGTGCGGGCGGCCAGGCCCGTCTGCAAAACCCATCCGTGCGAAGACACGGACGCAGCTCTGCCAGTGTGTCCTGGTCGCTCCCAGCCCAGCACAGGCTGCAGCTGCACAAGGCCTTCCCCGCTGGAGGTGCCAGGGCAGAGCAGCCCCCACCCTTCTGCACGGGGCGGGGGAGTCTGTCCTGGCCGTGCCTGAGTCCAGGACCCCAGAGGTGTGGGCTGAGGCAGGTGGCGAGCCTGGGCGCAGTGGTGGGGCGTGGGATGGGGGCACTCCAACCCAGGGAGGCTGGGGCAGTGGCCACAGACCCTGGGCTGGGCACAGAAACGCAAGGGTAAGGCGAGGCAGATGAAGGTGGGAGGGGAGTTGGTGCCCTTGAGGTTAGTTGGGATCAAAGGTCAGACCAGAGGGTGAAGAGGGGTGGTGGCATTTCCCTCCCTGCTCTGTGCTCCGGCCGCCTGGTGGCTGTGCTGGCCTGGGCTGTGTGTGTTGCGGGGGCCGTGGTACGTGGGGGAGGACAGCTTGTACGTGGCTGTGGGTGAGCGGAGCACGCCGTGCAGAGGGTGTGGGCAGGCAGGGAGCAGGAGGCGAACGTGGGCTGCCCGTGGGAGGGCTGGGGATGAATGCCCCCACCCCCCAGTTCTGCCGTCCCAGCCCTGTCCCCAACACAGGGCTTCCCAAGGAAGGGCTGCGGTGACCGCTGACCACACATGGTGGGAGGCTCTGGGGACCTAGAAACCAGCCCAGCCTGAGGGCAGCAATTACAAAACCTCATGAGACCACCCCCGGGGACCACATCCGCCCTGGAGCCAGCCCCGACAACCCCGGGCTGGGCTTGGAGGCCAGAGCGGAGCGAGCCGGTGGGCTTGGCCGCCACCGGCAGAGTCACCATGGCACGGCCCTAAGCTGGCGAGCTCGGGTGGGGTGGCTGGGGGGATAGAGGGGGCCGGCTGAGCTGCCCGCAAGGTCTGCCGTCCAGGGCCCCAACTGCCGCTCCCTCCGGGGCCCCGGGCTGCACCGACACTCGGCACTGGGGCCTCACTCGAGCCTTGAGTCCCGCCTCAGAAGCCGCCCCCTGGCCTGGGAACGGCGCCCTCGCCAGGAGTGCGGCACCTCCACGGGTGGGGGCCAGCCACACGGGCAGCAGGGCCCTTGGCCCTGGTGGAATCTGGTTCCTGAAAGTGGCGTCAGGCCCCTCCCTCGGGGCAGCGCTGAGCCGTGCACTTAACCCGTTTTCCCCAGTGGTGGTGACCCCTGCTGGCAGAGGCTGGGGCTGCAGCCCAGCTCTAGCAGACCTTGCAGGGCCCCTGGCTGGGGCTGTGCATCCTAGACTTTGCAGACCGCACAGGCAGTCGGGGCGTCTCGGCTCTGGCCGCCATAACCAGGTACCACAGGCCGGGCGGCTTGGGCAACAGGGATTAATTTTCTCATCAGCCTGGAGGCTGGCAGTCCCAGATCAAGGTGCCAGCAGATGCCGTTCTCTGGCTGGAGACGGCGTCTTTGTGCTGTGCCTGAGAGAGGGGCGGGGGAGAGACAGAGAGTGCGCGTGTGGACAAGGGAGAGGTCTCTTGTGTTGCTTCCTAGAAGGACACTAATCCTCCCTGATCAGGGACCCGGCCTCATGCCGTCATTTGTCTTTAGTCACGTCCGTAAAGACCCTGTCTCCAAGTGTGGTTACGGGGACTCAAACCCTCAGTCCAAAACACAGAACGCCCCCCAGCTACAGTCACTCCGTCTGATCTGGGTGTGGGCGGGACCCAGCTTAGGCCCTGGCAGGGAAAGCTCGGTCAGGAGGGGCGGGAATGCCAGGCAGGCTTGCCAAAGCGCGGGCGGGGTTGCTCACACCCACCAACCCACCAGTCGTCTGTGGGGCTTTCCTTGGAGGAAACGCCCCTTCTGTATCACCATACAATGGAAGTGAAAGAGAAAGTGGGGCTTGTGGTGCCCGTGTCTGTCTGTCCGTCCATAGGTGAGACACAGGTGACGGCCGTGTGGGTGCAGCCGGGAGGATCTGTCCCACACTTGGAGGCAAATCCTCTGCTGGACTCTCGGCTCAGGGCTGGGTCCGATTTGCAGGACCTCGGCCAGGCGTGAGCCTTTGGCTGTTGCCTGGGCAGGGGGCGCTGGGCTGTGTGTGCCACAGCTGGGTCCCACAGTGACCAGAAGGGCTTGGAACATCCCCACCAGCACTGGCCGTGGTCACACGGGGGCCGTGGCCCAGCGCCGGAGAAAATCTGCCTCGCTCAGCTTTCCGGGAAGCCCCGGCTGGAGATGTGCAGGGGACTCTGGGCTGGGCGCCTGCTGTGCACAGCCTGGGAGCATCTGGAGTGTCACAGCTGAGTGACGAGGAGAGGACGGCTCTGAAGAGACCCCGCTGCGATCCCCCACCCCCACCTGCCCATGCTGGGCTCCAGCGGGCCAGTGCCTGGTCCCCGTGTCCCTCTCGGGCCCCGCCTGTCTGGAGGGCTGACGGGGAAGCCTCGCTCCTTCCTGGCCCTGGCGGGGCTCCCTGGGGCCCTGTCCGTGTGCGGGCCCAGCCTGGCTCCCCTGCCCTGGGCTCTGCGCCCTCCATGCCTGCCGGGCCCTGCCAGAAACGGGTTCTGGTTTCTATTACGTGTTCCAAGCAGGGATGCAGTTGGTGTCGTGAACACAAATAAACAGCCCCCAGGAATGTGGGGCCGGCTCAGGCCATGCTTGGAAGCCCCTGCCGCGGCGGCTGGTGGCTAAGCAGAGCCATCTCAGGGGAGGCATCAGGACAGCTCCTGTCTGGCCTGGGGGGTCAGCACAGAGTTGGGGGGCGGGTGGAGAGGGGGCTGGGAGGCTGATGGGCCCCCTCAGTTCTGCCTGCCCCGGGCCTTTCCCTCTGCCTGTGCCAGGCCCAGGTGGTGCCAGGAGGTGGTGCGGTCACTGCCACCGCTGGCGTCCTCCCCCGGGAGGGCTGGCCTTGCCGCAGGAGGGACTGTCCGCACGTGCTCCGGGCTGGCATGCAGGGAGACAGGGCAGCGCCGTGAGCCGCGGGTTTCGAACTCTCTTTGAAGGAGGCTCCGCCTTTGGCGGCGGTGTGGTCTGTTGGCAGCTCTCGTCTGGCCCTTGCCTGCGTTGCTGGCCACTGAGCTCTTGCTCCTCGGTGGGCCTGGGTTTCCCATCCCGCGTGCAATGGCAACGAACTGTGTCCCCAAACTCGTCCCAAGACACCCCCAGAGGGGTGAGCATCTCAGGGTGAAGCCTCCCCACCCCCCAAATCTTGGCGCTTTGGTGGCAGGGCTCAGGTTCGCTCCGGGCGCAGGCGGCGGGCCGACGGCCTCCTTTGCCCGGGCACAGGCAACGGCGCATTCCTGTGGCTTCCCCAGCTGGGACCAACTCCCTCCCTAACCACGAGGCGATTGCTGTAGACTCGATCGTCACCAAATCCCAGCAAGGAGCTGGCGTTGCTTCTGGTGGAGGCCCAGTGCCCATCCTGGGTGCCCAGCCTGGCCCAGCAGCCTCTGCCCCCTCCCGGGGCCCATCCACGCACGGGGCACACAGGCTTCCATGGGGCCAGCCTGACCCCACAGAGCCTGTGTCCCACGGGGCCTGCACGTGAGGGGCTGGGAGAACGGCACCGTGTGAGATCGGGTGGCCTGGACTGGGCAGGAGCTGCTCTTATCCCTTGGGAGCTGGGGCCAGGCCTGTGGGCCATGGTGGCTGTCTACAGCAGCCCCATACCCTGCTGCTGGCCTTGACCTGGGGACCAAGGTGGTGAAACGCCTCCATCACCCACTGCTGCCTCCTCCAGGGAGCCCGCCGGTGTGTCACATTCCCTCGGCCTCCTCAGTGCCTTTGTGAGTCCAGCCCGCAGGATGGGCCAGAGGATGCAGAGGCTGGGCCAAGGCCCCGCGTGTCCTGTCTGTGGCGGGGCAGGAGCAGCTTTCAGAGGAAATGGCAAGCATGTGGGGCTGGAGTGGCCAGGAGGGGACCTGGACAGCCACAGAGAGGTGGCCGTGCCATGATCCATCCGCCTGGGACCAGGTGTCCCCTGGCGACCTGGTCTCCCTGTGTCCCCAGCCCAGCACCCCTGTCCCTGGGCATGGCGGCTGCAGCCACCACTCGCGTCCAGGCTCACGGCGGCCGGCACCGCCTGCCAGCCCGGCCGCGTTCCGCTGCAGGCAAGGATGGCCGGCGCTGTGCGCGCGCGGGGGGGCTGCCGCCCCTGGGCGCACGCCGGCAAGGGGGCCGTGCGCGTGCGAGCCCAGGCAGGTCGCAGGCGAGCTCCCACCTGGCTGCTGGGGCGGGGGTCTCCGGGGCCTGAGGCTGCTGCGGCAGGCTGCGCTGGAGTGGTCAAGGGCTCCGCTGCCTCGGACGATCGCACGCCTGTGGGGGCAGGAAGTCTCGGTTGGAGGTGACGCTCAGTGTCCTCCCACCGGGCTTCCCGGGGGCCATCTGCGCGCCCAGGCCCGACCTCGGGGGAGGAGGCCACTTCTGCTCTGGGCTTTGCTGGATGGTGGAAGGTGGCCGGGCAGGCTCAGAGTACGCCCAGCGTGGCATGGGAAATGAGGGTTAATGCGGGAGGCGGGTGCTGAGAGCTGCCCCCACCGCCCGTGGCTCCTGCGTCTCTGCTAGCAGGGGGCATGGGGACACTGCGCGAGCTCGGGGGTCACAGCCTGGTGTCAGCCCTGGCGCTGGCTTGACCTTGTCCTGAGGACATGGCGAGTCTTACCGGGGGGGGCCTCCCACGTCCAGGGGGAGGGGGACCCCACTGCCCAGCTGTCCCGAAGCAGGGAGGGGAGAGAGCGCTGGTGGGAGCGTGTCACGAGGCGGCCCTGGGGCCAGGCGTCCAATCCTGGGGGTCTCCCGCCTAACCTCCTTCTCTGGGCCGCGGCGTGACCGCACGGCCGAAGCGTGCGCCGGGACAGGAAACGGGCGGCTCCGGCATGGCACACCCTGC